GAAGAGCCCTCACTTGTCGCAACGGATGGCCCGTTGACTGTCCTTCTTCTTCGAGTACAACTTCGTTGCTCACTACAAGCCGGGCAAGAATAACATTCTCGCCGACGCGCTTTCTCGGCGTCCGGACTACGATCCCCGTGAAGCGCTAGGACATCAGCTGGCTGATGAGGACGACGACGAATGTGCGGTCTGCGTGTCGTCAGGCATCAACTTGACGTTGACCACGCCCACGCTCCCGCTGGGTGACGAGATTGCTACAGCGTACGATGATGACCCTATATACGGTGCCATCATGAAACACCTGCGTGCTCCTAGTAGTGACGCGCTAAGTGCCCTGTCAAAGACCACGCGGAATCAGATCGATCGATATCGACTGGACGGCAATCTGCTCAAGTACAGCATCGACAGGTTCGATGGACCTCGAGTCATCGTCCCAAACGACGCTGATCTACGTGCGCGCATAATCCACGAGTATCATGACGCCCCGACTGGAGGACATCTCGGTCGCGAGAAGACGTACGCGGCTCTGTCGAGAGACTTCTACTGGCCGCACATGTACAAGTGGGTACGCAAGTGGGTCCGCACATGTGAAACTTGCCAGCGAGTCAAACCGTCTTCGACGTCTCAGACCCCATTGCGCCCTCTTCCGGTCGCCACGGAAGCCTGGCGCTCCATTTCGATGGACTTCATCTTCGGTCTTTCGCCCGATACAGCCGGGCGCACGGGTGTACTTGTGTTCGTCGTTTGTTTCAGCAAGATGGTCCATCTCGTTCCGGTGGCAGCCTCAATCACCGCGGAAGAGTCCGCGGCCCACTTCGTCGACGTGATTTTTCGTCACCACGGTCTGCCGGAGTCCATCGTGTCCGACCGCGACCCGCGGTTTACATCCGCGTTCTGGTCACGCCTCTTCGAGCTCTTGGGAAACAAATTGCTGATGTCGACTGCGGCACATCCGGAGACGGATGGACAAAAAGAACGCGTCAACAGCGTCCTTGAAGACGTTCTCCGCAGCTATGCAACTTCGTACACGAGCTGGAGCTCGTTCCTACCGCTAGCCGAATTCGCACTCAACAACGCCGAGCACTCCTCGACGGGTATGACGCCGTTCTTCGGGAACAACGCTCGCCATCCACGTGTTCCGGCACTTCTCGCCGTGGGTCATCCCACAGATGCTGGCGGCTCCACCCTTGGTGGGGGAGAACCTCCTTCGGTCGACATGGACGCTGAGCTTGCGGTCGGTCCTGCGGACAACGAGTCCGTGTTGTGGTCATCACCGGTACGTGAACCGGTGTCTCAGCACGCACCGGTAGCCTTATTGGTGCCAACAGGCCTGCCGGCGCACTCGACTTCAGGATTATCTTCGGGTGTAGCCAGTGTGAACGCCTTGACTCGCTCTCCGTCCAAGCAGCCCATCGAGCCTCCTCGGCGTACTGCATCTCCGATAACGAGATGGACGTCGCAGAACTTGATCGATCCAGGCAGCAAAATTCGCGAGCAGGCAGTTACCACGGCCAATTATACACCGAAACCCTCGGTGCTCCCTCGCCCGGAGTCGCTCGGCAGTTGCGGAATTCGTCATGCAAAGGCAATCCATCTCAAGGTTCGTCCGCGACGCACTACAGAATGCAGTGGACAAGCAAAAGGAACAAGCTGATAAGCATGGTCGAAAGAACGTGAATGTATTCAAGATAGGAGATCGCGTTCTTCTATCGACCGAGGGAATCCGAGCTTCTGCCGTAACCAACCTTGGCGCCAACAAACTTGCTCCACGCTTCATCGGTCCTTTTCGAGTAACCAAGGCTGTGGGCGACGCCTACACGCTGGACATTCCGGCGTCACTTAGACTCCACCCGACGTTTTACGTCGGGCGACTCAAGCGGTATTTCCCTGCGACGATTCCTGACCCAAACCGGCAGACGGAGAATGCGTCGGGCGGCCAGCCCGACAAGCCTGACGCGCCAGAGTCCCGTCAGTTCGCCAGGCACGATCTTCCGTCGGCTCAGCTTCAATATGAGCGTCCAACGCACGGTTCGAAGCAGTCTCCACCTTGCCCTGGACGTTCAGGGCGTACGTCATATCACCGGGATGGCCCACCACCGATAATTGACTCGGTGGGTGACGCGCGCTGGATTGTGGAGCGTATCGCTGGCCACGAAGATCCCCACAACTCGGCTGCTCAGCGTAACATCCGTAGTCATACTCTTCGCGCGGTCCCTACCGCGCGCCGCTATCTGGTACGTTGGCTCGGTTGTTCTCCGAAGCATGATACGTGGGAGCCCCGCGCCAACCTTCTCCGCGACGTTCCGGACGTGGTCCACGAGTATGAGACCATGCTGCTTGAGAAGAAGAATTCCGCGGGTCACCCCGCGGAGACCGTGAACGAGATCGAGAACGGCCACGAGAACGACCCGCATGAGGAGGCGACAACGATGTCGCGCTCCGACGCGTGCCACGTCGAAGTGAGCCGCGGCGAACACTGACACAACTTGTCAGTGCAAGA